GAGATTCGGCGTCTGCTACGCGTAAAAAAATTATTCTTAATATTTTCGTTAGAGGTCTTTAAAACTACCGTATTTTTTGCGATGCCCATTCGTATAAATGTATTTATATTTCATTCGCTTCAGGTAAATACTACTTGAAATATTATCTTGTTTCTAACAAATGTCATTTGTACCGCGCGCACATAATATCTAGGCGACACGATAATCTTTCCTTGTCGCATGGATATTGGAGACAATTCGGGAATGTTGCTCAATCGTGAGGCTTCTCGGTTTAACTATTCAAAAATATTTTGCGATACTCTAAGCTAGTAAACCAAGTAAAGGACCCTTCGATATCGAAGACAACACCTTTATCTACCGTAAGAAACCCTTTAACCAACCAAACAGCCGTCTAGACAAAGTAAACAAAATCACTATCGTGGATTACTTGCATTTTAAATAGGACATTTTTCTACGAATAAAAATGTAGAAATCATGTGACCTTTGAAATGAAAGCAGTCTCCTCGTGATAGCTTAGTGTTTGCCGGGTAATATTTAGGGGTCCGCGTGGTTTGAATCCAAGCGTAGGCGGGCGCATAGGAGGTTACTTACGGTGTGTAGGTTAATTAATACAAAAACAATTAGTTCAGATCTCGTAAGTGGTACATAAACGTGTATGCAAATTCAGATGAATGAAATTATCGTCCTGCAAGAGATGTTAGCTGTGACTGCTATTGTTTTTGCATCAAGAGCCGTTAGGAATTCTGTTTGATATATCAATAAATCAAAATAGTACAAAACATACTTATACTAAGCTGACTCTGGAACTCAGAGTATTTGCTTAGCTTGGGCAATCGCTCAAACCTCACCGAAGGAAGTGGGCCTTTCGATGCTTCCGTCATGGGTGTCCCGACATTTGGCTGCCGTTAGTTACTACGAAAAAACAACCACAGGTTCTATCATGTAACTTTGTAGCCAGTGGCGTGGTCTTGGTAGCTAATGCGCATCTCTTTGAGTGGTTACCATAGTGACCACGAACATGCGGCTATCGCTTATTCAAACTTTAGCGTTAGCGAATGGCTGCCATTGCATATGATTACAATTCAGTTTATAGGTCTGTTGGAGAAGCCCCAGGTAAATCCAGCAAGGCTCGGGCCGGCTAAGCTCCGAGTAAAGGCAGAACCTTAATGCTATATCAGATAGCACATGAGTACTTACTCACAAAGTAAATATAACCAGAGACGGTAAAGAACAGAAGCAAAACCCGATGTGCACCATCCTGCATAGTATTAAATAGGCAATTGTGCCTCCTGACACAAATTTTAAGCTGTATATAATGTCGCAGATGTTAAATTGCTATATAAAAGGGTAACCATAAAGGAAGCCTAAACGAAAAAGAGAAGAAAGCATTCAAGTTGCCGGTATTTGAAAAGTTTTTCAAGTCTATTTTTGGCGAAAATAACTATAAAGTCCACAGACTTCAAAGAAATGAATATTAGTTACGAATTTTCTAAATTTCTACGCAAATTTTAAATTTTACTACTGCAGATGGCGGCTACGGAAAACATATTTGGGGGACGCTATTACGCTTAACTTGACAACTAGTTGTTTGCCCCGTGCGAATATTTTATCAATCTATTGCTGCAGTAGTGTACTTCAATGATAATCACAAACGCTGATTCCTAAAACATTCGTGTAATATCAATGAGCTTCGACATATGAAATATAGGTAACTCGTGAAAGTTACAAGGGTAGAGGTAAAAGTGCTTCTGTTAACCCACGGTTCGTTGAGTTTACACGGCAAACTCGTCAAATAAATGACAGTTTTTTTTCTTATCAGCTTATTATCAACAACGGAAAGGACCGTCAGGAGGACAAATGGTGCAGGTGATTTACGATGTATAAGAAATACCACTAAAAATCAGCCATTCGTTAGGAGAAATAGGAGCGCCATAGTTTTGCTTGTTAAATATTCGTATTTTGTGAATTAACCTTAACAAAATCGTTCGTTGTTATCTTCAACACAAGTTTGTTATGAGATATTGCCTGGACATAACCAGTCGTGTACGTCCTTCACGTGCCAACAAAATCGTAGCAATTTCTCAAATATCAGTTGCAAATAAAGCTCTGCAAGCTAATAGTACTGTTATTTAAATATTCAATTTCAACATACAAACTTCAACACCTTACCGAGCACTACAAAGTGATATAGCTTCAAAAATAGCGAGAAAATGTGTTACTACCACTCCCCAATTAAACATGTCAAAAAGGCAAATTCGTATTCTATGTTTTACCGTTTAGTCTCATGCAATGCCCCGCTTTGACGCTTATCGGCAAAGCGACAGAAAGCGAATGAACTTTTCGCATGGTAACCTGGTGGCGTGAACAACGAAATAATGCATAACCTAAACCCAGTTGTAGCGCGGAATGGGCTGAAATTATTAGTACCCATTACCCATTATCCATTTTAGAATAAAGCAATGACCTATGGCAACCAGCGTTGCGTTCCTGAAAAAAGTTCCTGTCGTTCAACATGAAGACACCGGGATCGAGTATACTTCCGATTTATGCATTGGCAGGAAATTAAAACCTGAGATGGCCATCTGTGAACATTCAGCGGAGAATTATAATTAAGAAGCAAATAAAATATCCGGCCATACATATCACCGGCGTTCATATCCACAGAATATCAAGCCTGATGCTTGAGAAGGGAAAGCAATATCTAGAGACTGAAATAACCGATCTATCAACCGAACCTAGCTATCTATAGTCGTGACTTCGTTCATGATGACCAATTCACTCACTCAGTTCAATGGAAAACCCCTCGCAGCTGCGATCGTGTACCTGCATGACTTGTAGAACAGATAAGGCTCTATAGTTCTCCCATGTTCTAACTAACTTACAGCTTATCAAGTTAGCTTATTAAGTTAATTAGATAAGATAACAATCGTTTCTACTACACTAAAAACATTTCTTCTAAGTGTTGAGGTCTGCTGTTAATGATAACCCTTGTTATACGTGATTCGGCGAAAAGTGTTAAACTAGTTTTTGGCGCTTTCGTTGTTCAGTAAAAAAAAATGTTTGCCGATATCGGTTGGCTTTTATAAATATCTATATCGTTTTACAGCGATCACTTCTACATCTTGCGCAATATACATTACGCAAATCTATAACTTAGCCAATCCGAAAGGTCAACACGAACGGCGGTGCGGCTCCAAGACACAATTCTTGTTGAACTCCTCCTTCAGCTCGAGCTTCATTTTTACGTAACTGTTCCTTAACGAAATAACATAGGTTCTATATGCGTTCGGCGTAAGAGTATTGTTTTCGAGTTGTATCAGTGCCTAGGCCAAGGTGGCTTGAACCTCGAGTACTGCATATACGAACATGAGCGGACGACAAAAGACTGACTGACTTCTACGGCAATGGCAAACCTCAGAAGGAGTCCTTCTGTTTGAGCCAGCCAATCTCAATACGCATGAATCTGGCAATATCTCAAAAACATATTTCGGACGAGGAAAAATTTTCGCACGCTTTTTCGTGACTCTACATTCGAAAATAGATTGGACATATTAGACCTTATATCTCATATGGATACTCGCTATATTGCTATTGATTTTACGATTGATAAATCTGACTTTAAAGTGAAAACATCTAATGAGAATACGAGCACAATTTGCTATGTTTAGCGTCTGGTTGTCTGCATATACTGGGTAGAATTTTCGAGAGCCGTACAAATGTATGTTACCTCTCATTGATCAGCCGCAATACTTTGCCATTTCAGTTTAAAACTGTGAAAACTATCTTATTTTTGTACTGCTACCAACTGCCTATTGCTATTACCTGCATCGAATCGGTAAAACAAAAAGCAACAGGTTAACTTTTTTTGTAAGTAGAATGTTTCAATATAAGATGATAATTCGACAAACATTAACCATCAAAGACTGTAAACATACTTCAGCTGTCTGTACCTCAGTTTCCTTTTGAAAATAACCCCTACCCGACCCCATGGACTGTCTGGCGGATACGGGGGCTGTGGCTTCTATTCGAGCGCGTTAAGCTTCTCCTTAACGCACACATTTAACTGCATCTTCGTTGCACATGCCTTACATGGAACCTTGCCGTCCGCAAATGAACTTTCAAAACACTTCAGTTCAACTCGTATAATCCTCCAGCAAATGCCATATTGCTTTTCCTACGCGTTCGCCAAAAGTCGCAGTAACAAATCGCTCAAAACGAAGATCAAGCTCGAAGCTCTCCCTTTCGTAGTAAAAACGTTGATATTCCTCGTATTATCGGCGCTTGCTTATTGTCTGGTCTTCAAAAGCTTTCACCAATTGTTGGCACAGGCAGACTTTTTGCTATTCCGCTTTCGACAAAAACAACGGCTAAACGAAGGCGAAACACTTAGAAGCATTTCCAAAATATGATACAGAGCACGAAAATGCGCTGAAAGTTGGTCTCTCAATAGGACAAGTGAGTATCACCTGGCCACTGGTCGGCCTTTAACTAACCAAAATACGGTCGTTTTTTGTACCTTTAGACAAAGTTTATTTTTAAAAAGATTTTTGCAGTACCTCTGTACTAGTTGATTTGTATCACTTTGAATAGAGAACCATATGACCCCATAACATGTTCCATCTGTTTTTAACGCATCGTTTACTATGCACCTGGTGTATGTGATACCCCCTGAAATCAAAGGTGCGACGGGTAAAGATCAGAAGGTCTCTTTGTTCTTATACTGCAACACATGCACCTAAATAATCCATTCTAAACTAACCCCGACTGAATTTGTGCAGGCATCACATCTTTGTATTAAATCCAATATCCAGGCTGCCTCCTCTCAACATAACTTCTTCCCTTCGCGCTTGATAGAAGACGAAGCCATTTTAAGCTCTTCTACGCTTTTATTCATAACAAAGAAAGTTCAAGCGGATTACCACGTCATTTTTCTAATAACGGCAGACAAAATAGCGTGATATCGCAATACGAGCCTAACCAGATGCGTGGTGAAGCCCTACCTATTTCTTCGTTGAGGTGATGATGTCGCAACCACTGCTGTGAGGCGATAGCAGTGGCCGATCGGTGCGAGCAGGCCCCTCTTGCGGCCAACGCAACGAATGTCATGAGGCAGCAGCAAAGCAGCTGCTGCAGTTCGGGACGGCGTTGCATGTCCTGGAACGAAGAGGCGCCTTTTCCGATCACGAGGATCAGGCGTCGGGCGATTACGCCGTTTTTTGCATCCTACATCCTACCAGGGTCCGTCGTTCGTGCACACCGCATCGATGAAAACTAAAGCACAGGCTCTGGCCATACAGCTATGTCCTGCTTTGCCTTTCAGCTACACCAAAAAACGAGGTACAACCACACGATGTTACTATATTATACCTCTACACTTCGACAGAGTAAGGACGACGACAACTGCCTCTGCTTATGACACCTATAATTTCCTTTGCGCGTTTGCACGCTTTGTGAATCACGACAATGCACAACGATAGTTTTTGTGACTACTCTCGATTGCATCCATTTTTACCGATCCGTTCGAGGCGACCGCCGAAAGAACTCTCTGCAGAATGACCTTCCTCACCCAACGTACCCATGCATTTACATACAAATTGCAATCGTAGAAAAAATCCGCTTTATAGAGTCTTCACTGATCCACGAAGGTTCGTACGCGCAAGCCAAATGTTGCTTCCCCAGAGTAACGCCACTTGAGCGGAAAGCTGTATTCGAGCGTTTACCTTTTTTTTTTGAGTTCGTATATCTTGTGTTTGACAAGTATACCCAGTTGGCGCCGACAAGACCTTGGTGTCTTTGGAGCGTCTCGCGTATCGGAGTTGAGCGGTTGAGTCAAAGGTTTTAAGGTATTTGTATAGGTTATGCCATAAACATCTTGGCCATCTTAATCAAGTTGTGTACTTGCGAATTCAGATTGCAGTTGTCCGCTTGCACAACAACAAAGCATAGTACTGCACTAATAGATCTGCCTAAACGGCCGCTAGAGGGCTTCAAGCAGCGCGCCACTTGACTTGTCCTGTTAACGCGTTTGCTTTAGCGTCACTAGATAAGATACCTCACCATTTTTAATGCGAACTCTTACACGATAATTATATATCCTGGTATTTTTGTAGGGCAGAGGGACCTGCACTGCCTACATACGGATGCACACAATTTTTTGTTAGGGCTACATTTCTTCTTGTGCTCTCGCACATCTTTCAAAAACATGCGTCTTACAGGCGGTGCGTTTTGCGGAAATCACACGTTCACTCTTACCTGCGCACAACTCCCGTGGGCTTGCGACGCTCGTTTCAAATTGGATCTTACTCGAACTCACGAACCGTATTCCCGTTGCATTCTCACTTTTAAACACTGTAAATAAGTTGGTTAAGTGTAATTTCTCTGCTATAAACTGTTGTCGATCTGTGACACCAGCACATTTGTAGACAATTTAAACGATGCTTAGACTCTTCGTTTGTTTTTTGTGCCTAGAGACAGCTTTGTCGCCAGAAACTAAAATGTTTCAGCAAATCAAAACGATTACATCCAGGATACACATAGTGACTTTCATCAAACTGAGCCACAGTGATAAGTACGAGTCTTCCGAATCTCGCCAGCCTGTTGTAAACAACTTGCTCTGTTTCTATATCCATACGAACTTCGTATTATAGGGGGTGTCACTTCACATGAATACTCCGGAGTTAACGATAACTAACACGGGCACCTAGTTCGGTTGACAGCGTGCAAACATGGCATGGTTCAAGTGAGGCCTGAGAAAGGGGCGCCATGGAAAGGGTGAATGGGGAGAGAGCGTATACCGCCAATCAGGGGGAAGGGATTCTTCGGTTGGCAAAAGTGGGAGGCTTTTGCAGGCATGTCACGTCAGTCAAAGTGCCATGTTCAGATAAATCGGATATAATAACGGTGGTCCGATATCCAAAATATAATCTCAACAGGATAATGCTTTTATTTATTAAAATTCTATAGCTATAAATTAAAGATAAGTCTAAACTTTAGCTGACAAACGTGATGTCAGGTTATATGATGCGCACTTACACAGCAAGGGTGTTAACATCTGTGTGGGCTGAATTTTCAGTATAACAAAAGCCGTGTTCAAGGCGAAGCACTGAAGAGTCCAGGCAGAACTATTCAGATGGATAGAGAAAGGTAAAACAGTAACGAACATCGTTGTGTTCTATTTTATCTTGTAGAAGGCAGACGACTTAAAAGAAAGCGCGTATTTTGATGAGTATTAAGTCGGTAAGTTGCGCAAAAGCGACTACATGCTTATATTGGTAACTACGTATGTCCCATACGTGAGTCCGTTATATGTGTAGATACGGCAGTTGGCACCTATTAGACTGGGCGCAAGCGCTGACTCATGAAAGGTTAAAGGAACACATCGCACCGAACCTGCATGTTACATTTCCCTGTGTTAAATTCTATTACGTAGGTCAAATTGTCTCACAAAATCACATAGTTGAGCTTGTCTTTATAGCTACATAGGTCCTGTTACAAGCTTTCAGGCAGTTTATCTCCATATATCTAAGCCTTCTATGAAAAATTTATCCAAGCTAATGAATACTGTAGAGTATATATGTTATATGCACATTCGCTATATGTTCTAGTTAAACTCACCATATAGTAAGTAGCAATACAAGAATTGCTACGGAAGAATCCTGAACATTTCTAGTCATGCCACCCGAGCCTTTCGTTGACATTCGGGTGTCCTGCAAGGTGACTCGTTTTGCGGCTTCACCGACAGCTGATGCTCAATAAAAAAACAGCGAGACAATAACTCAATAATAGTGAAACACAAGTTGCCTGATAATGCGCTCATCTGTTCAGGCACGTCTGGTGGCAGCGAAGCTAATCTGAAATCTTATCTTCTTTACGTACTCGGTATCCCTTCATATGCATAAATGTGAGAGCGGTGTTCCTTTTTAGATTCTGGACGTGGCTAATGGTGCGATGGGCATAACGTGACAAAAAACCCCTCTACGTTTTGCGGCACTCAATCCCACTGGCAATACCGGTGCTTTATAGATTTCTACACAAATGCGCTGTTTCGTCAGTGCCGCATTTTGCGTCTGGTTGATACCGTCTAATAAGTATGACACGAACTCGGCTTGCTTCATTTACCGTACTTCGTTTCATATCGAAGCCCTCCAAGATTTGCAATACGATAAGACATCTCAGCGACGCTTTAACGGCGACAAAATCTAACGGTTGGGAAGATGGCGCTCATCATAGTGTCTGTGTATGAAGAATGAGATGATGCTCCGCTGCACGTAAGCAAATAACTATATTTGTTATGGTTGGCGGCGATGGCACACTAGTTGAATAATAGATATTTCTCCTTTACGCATCGATACAATCCAATACAGTCCAGCGTTTATGCTACCGAGACAAAAATATATACGTTATCGTATGCATCCTAAGGGTAGTTTTACGCTCCTGGCTGAAATCGCTAAAATTCAAAAAAAAATTTCAAATGTTCTTTCCAGTACCTTTTGAGCCTTGCTGGAACTATAAAGTAGAAATTTTAGGTGCGTATTTTTTTGCCGCTATCATTCCTCTCGTCTTGAGTGTTTCTCTAATAAGTGATATATCTTTGTTAACTAGTTGGCTTTCGTCCGGCATTTATTTACATAATCTAAATAACTGAAAACTTGATATGTGCGCTATTCTGCTTTGGACAGTTATCTGTAGGTAAACGTATCTATAATATTTATGCTTCAACAAACAAATAAAACTATTATTAAGACGTCATAGTAAGTTAGCGGCATGAGATTGTTTTGTCCGCTTCGTTTCGACATTATAGACCTGCATAGCGAATGATTAGGAGTAGAGGAGTGGTACATTTTTTTTCTATTTAAAATACGGATTAGTAAGTGAGCAGGTATGCTTGAAGCATATCAGACCACCCAATTATTATATGGTAAGTGATTTGTAGATGAGCTAATTAGCTGGCTTTTTTTTTCCTATTAACTGTGAATGACTCGTATGGAATGGATGTCTAAGGTCACCTTAAGTCTGTCGTTTCCTTAGAATAGCCTACATATTAGGTGTAGCAACGATGTCCCTCATTACTTTTCACCTTTATTGAACTGTTTTATTTTCGGTGGCGGAATCTTAATAAACGTCAATACATATATGTATATATAATGCGCCAGAGGCGAGCAGGAAATTCGGGGAATGGGGTTTGAAGCTTACTGCCTCACTGGGGCGACAAAGATTAGTCCTTGCTGGAACACTCTATGCTCCATTATAACGTGCAAGGGCGTCGAGTATAAGATTATGGTCGACGATCAGTGAACTTAGAGTGCCGGCATTACGTTCTTTGTATTTGTCGATATCCTCTTTATGGTCCTACGTGATGACTGCCGGCTCGAATGGCTTCTGCAATTCGGTTTTGCTCCACGCCTCTGCGTTGATAGAGACGCTATAATAGACCGTAAGTAGAATAACAGCTTTATATAGACTTAATTTAGATTACGTCACTGCGAGTTAACGTAGCATCTACTTATGACAGTATTCGTAAAAAGATACAGCTTTATTTCTATCTAAATATGTTCATAACGCACGACCTACGAACGATCTTCCCTATTGGGAAAATTGGTCTTTTCTAGAGATCACGTACAATGACTGATCATCCCAACCTAAATCAACATTTAAGCTAGCGTAGATCGTTATACGGCGAGGGGCTGTTCAATCATCAGTTTGCCCTAATATTGAGTAAGCCATTTGTCGCTTTTGTCTCTACCCAGCCTTCGGCATGCCCCTAAACCTCGTTAATACAAGTGCCAAATGAACCGTCGCCGAATGTTTCCAACGAATGAGAGAATTCGTCCACTTCGAAAAAGTTCAACTTGTAAATTCGGGCCACTCGGAATATATGCACAGTGTTAAAGCTATTGCATGATGATGTGCCACCATAACTTTATACCTATGTCCCGCGCTACTGAAATCCTAATGGCATCTAGTCGCCCTTGTATATTACCTTTGAGTGTGAAAAGTATACGGTGACGAGAAGCTTCTTCTGGGTCAATTTGTAAAAATAGTACTCGATAATAGTTAACACTTAAGTCACACAGAAACGTTACTTATTTCATTGTGCGCATTCAATTTTTAAACTTAGTCACAGTAACCTTAGGCTCATTAGAAGAACTAAATGCGCCGACACCGCACAATTGAGCTTCTAAGAAGAAGACTAAAGTGGGAGTAGAGATCTTCCCCGCATCTTGCCCATGGAGTGCCATTATGATATTTAGCTACTTCAGTAGCTGAGCAATGCGCTCTATCATTTGCCGAAAT